AAGAGAGGATACTAGCGCTTCCTATAGAGGCACTGAGCTTTTGTCCCATTTGATGGAGAGTTGCCGGCCTGGCTTTTATGTGTCTTTACGAGTGGAATCTCGTACAGTATTTCCGGCTCCTTTCTGATCTTGGCGCAGTCCATGATCGCTACTAGGTGATACGGTGCGTCACGACATCTAGCGGCACGACGAGAAACGCGTCGAATAGCGAGATAATCCTCGGCGTCAAGAAATTAAACCCAAGCACAGAGCAACTTGGTTTGTCCATGATGAATAAAGGATATCCAATCGCTCCTCATATTTCTTAAGAATGCGTTTCTTCTTGTCCGATGGAGCTGCACCGTAAGTATGCTCCGAGGTCATCTCAGGTTCCGCCGGCTAGATTTGGCTAGGTTCGTTGCGGTTCGCTGTTTGCTACATCGTGTGTATGCGTGTTCTTGTAATGATTGGTAGTTTTTTACAAAAAAAGATAACACATTGCTATGATCTCTATGGTACAAGTAAAATTTGTTTGAGGAATTAACACTTACTTAAATATAACAACAATTAACTTTTTCCATAGGCACGTCTACACAGATTTAACGGTATTTTGACGTAAATAAATAAACATTGTTATAACAAACTGGTTAAACATCCAGTTTATAAGAGTACTACGCTACGACTTATGTGATCAGGGATGTATTTAGGCTACCTCTTCTTTTCTATTCGCGATGGACATCGGTGTGATGCATCCAACTTGTTTTCGTGAATGAGCCATTAAACAATGCAACACAAACAGAAGCATGGCGTTACATAAAATGTTAGAACTAGTACATAAGCGGAGTCATTCACTTATGCGTTTCGCATAGCTTAAGTAAAGACGTAACTTGAGGTGGTAGAGCGAGATAAGTGGTATGTTTCACATGCTTTTTTATTGATTAATCAGAAAGATGAGAGGTTCTTTCTATTTTCTGGTAGAGTTTTGAATCGGTTCCACGTATAGTTTTCTGCGTAACGAGACCGTAAAATTTGCTTTTTAAATGGGCTGTTTATGATTGAATTTTAAAAATTGTGATGAATTAACTGTAACATCGCCTTTTAAAAACATTTCTTTTGGTGGCTCATCTCAAAGAATCAAACGCGCAACTTGAAGAAACTAACGTTTCAAAATGCGAGAAGTTGTGGCAAATTCTAAGCCTAAATCAGTCCAAAGGGAGAAACCTTCGCAGCGCTTCTTAAAGAGGTGGGACAGTGACGCGCATCTTCGGCAACACCGCGCGCTCATCGCGCTTCATTCAAATCGATGAAAAACGTTCCAAGAATCTTCCAAAGTCGTACATATCCTCTGTGATGTCTGGATCCTCTGGATTTAGAAATGAAAACCATCTACTTTATGAACGGTAACTAATATCGAAGATGTGAGTGAAGTCGATAGAAGAACTAAAGGATATGGGCCATGGACACAGTCCGATACTGAAATCGATTCTCAATCAACCAGCTAGTAACCACAATTTCTCACGAGCGATAGAAATTCTTATTTTGCTTAGGTTCTGGTGTTAAACATTGTGAATGTGTGTGTGTGTGTGTGTGATATATATATATATATATATATATATAATTATATATATATAATATATATATATTATATATATATATATTACAGGGTGACGGCAAAAATCCGGAACAAATTGAACTATTTTTCTTTACACTATATGTTTGTTTTGTACACATTGAAAAATTAAACAAATTGTTTTTAACTCACGTAATGTATAGGGATCATATGGAATAATTTATCTATATATCCCACTTGCTTGAACGCGCTCCAATTCTGGGTCTGAACGCTCGCAGGCACGGTGCAAGGCTTACGGGTTCCATCTTCGGCGAATGCTGCTTCAATAGCGCTCGGAGAGATTGCTACGTTCGGGTGTTCGCTTGTTTGTCACTCTCTCTCAATCCAGTCCATACATAATAATGCAGCGATATTTAAATCTGGCTGTCTGGAGGCCAGAATTTTCCTTCGACCAAAACCATGTCGATATTGTCCGATAACAATTCTGCACCCAATGACTCGTATGGCGGGCGCACGTCTTGCTGGAACAGCATAATGGCCTTCCATATATGCTACGTTTGTCCATTCACGGCTACAAGTTAGATAAGACATTCACATAAACCTCGCTTGTCATTTTCCCCTTTTTTGGAAGGACATGAGGTGGCATTAAACATCACCTTTGTACGAAACAACTCCTAGCCTGCACATTGGCCGGAAATTTGTTCTCGATCCACAGGCGACATCCTCAGGTCGGCGGCGCCGAAGCCAGCGGTCATTTCTCTTCGATTAATTTTTTGCCGTCTACCAGTAAAAATTTTCTCGTCGGAAAAAAAATCTGATTCGTCGCAGCGCGCTTGTTCTGTAGGAGCCAAAAGAAACTTGCAAAACCGTTCAACTCTCTCGTCTGGGGCTTCAGGAAAAGCATGCTGTCGAATTTGATGGTGTAGGACTTGTGAAACGGAGGTCTTCTTGGACAATCTGACGGAATAGTTGTCTCACTTATTTCCGAACACGCGCACCAATTTTGTCGGATCGATTGTCTGGATCGCTCAAGAAATCAGTTCTTGAACGCGTCTGAATACTTCTGGCGTCCTGACTGACGCGTCTTCGAGTGGCACTTTTTGCGGGGTTAGGAGACTTCTCTGAACTTTCCGACTCCTTGTATTTTGCCACGGAATCATAACTGTCGATCTTCGGATTGCGAAGAAGCTGATTATCTCCTGTCGCTGAGCGCCCAGGCGAACACTGTTCATTGATCCGCTGGCTCTTCGAGTTGTGATTCTTCGGCTTTGTCTAACATTGCGACTGTTTTGAGGTTTGTCTGCTTAGTAGATGGGTATCGATATTCATGTAACAATCGCGACATCTGTTAGGTGGCCCATACAAGCGCGCGGAGATTCAAATCTAATTTTGTCCGTTGATTTTGACCGCGACCCTGTAATATATATATATATATATAATATATTATATTATATATATATATATATATATATTATATATATATATGAGTTTTGCTCTTATCAGTGTGCGTTCATCCGCTTCAATGCCTCTCTATTGGACCTAGATAATCTCGCATTCTCTTGCCGTCATACGCCTCGTTGCACTCCCTGCTGCTGATGCAAGTCTGGTCTTCCTGTCTGTCGTCGGCACTCATTTCAGGACTCGTTTTGGCATCTTCTCTGTCATTCACATAACATGACGTACAACGATTTGTTCTTCTTTTCGTCGAGGAAAGATTCTTCTTTACAACCATGTTTTTTCTTATGTCTGTCATTCCTGATTTCTGTCACGTGTGCATAACAGCAACTTTCCCCTTTTACACCAGAATGTTTCATTTCAAGAGCCAGCAACTTCCTTTCTGTTCTTTTATAATCTCCCCAAAATTCTTGAAGCGTATGCTGTATACATTCTAACTAGCGAGGAGTAAAAGACGTCTTTTAGTAGTGTTAGTGATGATTTTGTTCCATAAGACTAGAGTTTTATACTTCGTGTCAAGTTTCTCCCAGGCTTATTCGTCTCTCAATTTCTTTCTTGCTATTTCCTTATTTTTAAAAAGTACATCTGGTTATTTATATTTGTTTAACTCCTTTTCATTTTTTCTCTCCATTGTTCTAGAAGAAATCTTCTATTTCATTTTTACACTGCTAGGTATTCAGATTTGTCTATATTAACCATTAAAGTCTGCTTTTAAAAAGTGTTCATTGAGTTTACGCGATCATGAAACTCAAATCGTCTGCATCCTCTGCAATTACTATGTGGTCATCGGCAAAATATAACGTAAACATTTCTCCTCTCCGATCGGTATTCCCATTACTCTGGGCATTGTTTTTCCTTTAAAACTGCTTTAAAATGGTGATCCAGAATATTTTTAAACGTGTGGGCAAACTGGCAAGATAACTTCACTGACTAGGAATGGATCCGAGAGGCTGCTGGTGATCTTAATCTGAGAGGGTGTTGCTTCTTATAGTAGGGAATGACGATCGGAGAGGATAAATTGTTTACGTTATATTTTGCCGATGACCAGATAGTAATTGCAGAGGATACAGACGATTTGAGTTTCATGATCCGTAAACTCAATGAACACTTTTTAAAAGCAGGACTTAATGTTAATATAGACAAATCTGAATACCTAGCAGTTGGTAAAAATGAAATAGAAGATTTTCTTCTAGAAAATGGAGAAAAAATGAAAGGAGTAAACAAATATAAATACCTAGATGTACTTTTTAAAAATAAGGGAAATAGCCAAGAAGAAATTGAGAGACGAATAAGCCTGGGGAGAAACGTGACACGAAGTATAAACTCTGTCTTATGGAACAAAATCATCACTAACACTACTAAAAGACGTCTTTACTCCTCGCTAGTTAAGAATGTTACAGCATACGCTTCAGAAGTTTGGGAGATTAATAAAAGAACAAAAGGGAAGTTGCTGGCTCTTGAAATGAACTTCTGGTGTAGAAGTTGCTGTTATAGCACACGTGACAGAATCAGGAATGACGACATAAGAAAGAAAATGGTTGTAAAGAAATCTTTCCTTGACGAAATAGAAAACAAATCGTCTGGTACGGTCATGTTATGTGAATGACAGATGAAAGATGGCCAAAACGAGTCCTGAAATGGGTGCCGACAGAAAGACAGGAAGACCCAGACTTGCATAGCAGCAGGGAGTGCAAGAGGCTATGACGGCAAGAGAAATGCGAGATTATCTATGGTCCAATAGAGAGGCATTGAGAGCGGAGAAACGGCGACAGCTGTAGAGCAACTCATATATATATATATATATATATATATA